GCCTTATAGTTCCTCAGCTAAAAACATTATTTTGTTCTACTTTGCAATTATAGTATGAAGGGTTGGTGAAGTTCCAACTTGCTCACCTCCCAAATACCATGTTCTTTACCTCAGAATAAAGGGCTAAGGCTGCTTTGGCCTGGCCAGTTCTACATTCTGACATAAATCATTGGGGCTTCCAACCCTTTTTGCAGATATCTCTCTTTCCTCCAGTATGCAAGTCTGGTCTATTGCGAAATGAATTCTTTTTTCCACTTAAGCCTACATAAATTTTAAAAGCATTAACATGAGAAAATTGTCAAATTGTTCTTTCAAATTTTATCTGCTGATAACAGATGATTTACAACTGTAAAATGGGAATAATAATTACACCTACCTCCCAGACTGGTTGTGAGAATCATATGGGATAATATTTGTAAAGTGCTTAGCAGAGTGCTTGGCACATAGGAGGTGCTATATAAATGCCAGCTATTGTCATTATTAATAATATTATATATCATCCAGATATTCCTTTACATGAACTCTCAGGCAGCACAATCTAATTAGTAAACAAATCATGAATAAGTAACACAAGGTTTTAGGTTAATTTTCTGGTTAGCCAAGTCTCACTGAATGGATTATTTCTTCACTCTCAATATAATCCAGTGCAATTCAACTAATATTCATTAAGCACTTAAAATGTGCAAGACACTGCACTAGGCTCTGGATAAAAAGGCATACATACAAAGGATATAACGAAGTACATAAAGACAAAATGAAAGCCAGTTTCCATTCAATCTCTTACATTCCACTGGGAAGATACAATATGTAAACAGATAAGTGTGGGTATGCATGCATCCATCAATATATACATACATAAACAGAAATAACATTTAATATGTTTTACATGTATTACATATAATACAAATGTATCCAATACAACATGAAAACAGGTAAGTATATCGGCATTAATATATACATATATTATGTATATATATTTGTATATATGTATATATGCATTTGTATTATATATAATGTCTATATATACCTTACACATACATGTCATATTCTCCTAACGGAATATAAGGTACTTTAAGACAGAGAATGGTTTTTGTCTTTGTGCGTACATATACATATGTATATGCACATATATAATACATATCTGTATAAATATGTGTGGATGCATGTTTATATACACACACATATACATGTGTGTGTGTGTGTGTGTGTGTGTGTGTAAAGCATTAATAACTTAAGGTACCACAAAAAAGTTTCCTGTAAGACATGGCACATAAAATGAAGGAAACTTCAGATTCTAAGGGGGTGAGATATATCTTCTAAGCATGAGCAAAAGTCTGTACAAAGGCATGGAGGTGGGGAACAGCAAGTACACTATTAGGACTTTAAGTACTTCATCTATGAAAGTAACTTATCCATTAATTATCATATCCATTTTGGCAAGTAAATAAATTTTGAATCTCCCACGGTACCTATAAGAAAAATCCACAAGAGATCAAAGGAAAAAATGTCTCTTCAACTAAAACTTCAAAAAGTTTAGTCAGTATTTTAAATAAATTCAAATTCACCAAACTTTTATTTTTGTGAGTCAGACACAAAGCTGCTTTGTTTACTGAGTCCTTTAAAATTATATGCCAAAATGTCTTCTGCTGGTAAATAAACTACCATCATGAGTCCTCCTAGGTCTCCATTTCCTCACAAAAGGTCAAAATCTCCTTCTCCATACACCCATCTGACCAATCAATAATCAAATTCTGTTAATTCTTCCTTCCTGAGGTCTCTATTCCCACTGCTACCAAGATAACTAAAGTCTTATCCCTTCATGCCATGACTACTGCAAGGACTTCATCTGGTCTCTCTGACTTCAGTCTCCTTTGCATTTATTCTCCAGGACATTAATGCCAGAATAAAGTCCAACAGTCAATCAATATGTATTTAAGTGCCTACTATGTGCCTCTTTCATCAAATCATTCTTCTGTGCAAAAACCTACTCTGGGAAAGCTTTCCTGATTACATCAAGTATTCTCTCCTTCCTTCGATATTCTTAAAGCACTTTGAGCTTTTTCTTTCCCTCATCATTCGTATCTTATATTTATCTGTGTGTATATCATATCTACCCCAACTCCTTCAAGACAGGAACTGTAAATTTTATATTTATATTCCCCAGAAGCTAGGATAATACTGTGCACATAATAGTACTTATGTTTATTGAAAATGTTTGTTGACTGGGTGAATGAGTGAGTAGAAAAATTTCACGGAAGGCAGGAAGTGAGTACAGGGAAGGAACTATGTCTTCATTGTATGTGCAAGGTAAGGAAAAACAACTCAATTTATTGTTGTCAACCACACATATTGTTCACCACATTTAAAAGTCTAAATTTTAGAATATATTCTACTATTATAATTTTTAGGCCAGTATATGTAAATTGTTGTTATAGCAACATTGTTTATAAGGCCTAAACAGGTAGTTTTTTTAATGCCCATTTCTTAGTCTAAAATGAGCACTATTAACAGGCGAAATGTGGAGAAAAGAAAAGGTCACAAAACCTTATACAAGTTATACATATTAGTACAAAAACAGAGTTCATTGAAGTAGGACCTGTCAGCTTTGAAGTTTTCTTTAAGAATTCTACCTTATTTTATATTCCTCTTTTTTTTTAAAAGAAAAGAACAGAATGCCAGACAAGCTTTGAAAACTGTAAGTTGACCTTATTATATACTTTAAAAAGAAAAATGAACTGTACATAACAGTCCTGTAGTTTCATACACAATCCTCTTTTTCTGTTCTATGTATATGCAAATACCCTATTCATTTGGTGTTTGTTAAGGATACAAATTTTTTAAAAGTTTATATTCTTTTCTTTTAAAAAAAATCTCTTCAGTTTCCAGATGGTTTAGGCCATACTTTGATGAGGTAATATGTATTCCACACTAAAAAAATCTTTTGTGGGATTGGCAATGTGAAAATAAATTATTGTTACCAGATTACCTTATTAAAATAAAGATGGTATAAAAAAATGTATCCCCCAACCTGATAAACATACAGAGCCTTGACTTACTTCCTGGAAACTTAATATCAAAAGTCATTGAAAAATATAATATAATTATGAAAGGTATTCCGCCCAGGAGCATAAAAGCCCAGAGTTCCATAATGAATTCAAGTTAAAACTTTCTGATTCCTAATCAATCAAAATATATTAAACACCAGCTACATGCCAGGCACTGTGCTAGGCTGTAAAAATACAAATACAAATAAGGAAATAATGCCTACTTACAAAGAATTTACATCCTATCAGGAAAATAAGTTCACACAAAAGTAGGTACAAAACAAGTATAAGAAGAATTAAAAGAAAATAAAATATGATTTACAAATACAATACAGCTGAGGAGGAGGGGACACATAGCTGTGGGGAATCAGAAAAAGTTTCAGGTAAAAGAGGTTACTTGCACTGTGTCTTCAAGTTATGTTAATACCTTTAGTTTATCTGTTAGTTAGAGTATGCCACCAAAGAATTCACTAAAAGGGCTAACCAGTATTTTGCTATACAGTTTAGGAGAACTCTCCTTTGCAATACTAATTACCCTACACTAAAGTCCTACCTCTGATGCCTCGCTGTGGTATGGAGGTGACGCTGAATTCTTGAATCTGTATGCGGACAGGAGAACCACAGAAGCTAGTAAAGGGCTGGATAACAATAATACCTTAAACTTGGATTTTTGTTGTTGGGTTTTTTCAATCACGGCCAACTTTTTATGACACCATTTTGGGATTTTCTTGGAAAAGATACTGAAGTAGTTGGCCATTTTCTTCTCCAGCTCATTTTACAGATGAGGAACTAAGGCAAACAGGGTTAAGTGACTTGTCCAGGGTCACACAGCTAGTAAGTGTCTGAGGCCAAATCTGAACTCAGGGCTCTATCCTCTGTGTCATCTAGCTGCCACTTTATAATTAATCAATTATTCCATATGATCCTCACAATACCCCACCGCAGGGAGGGAAGCTCTACTAGTAGAGTACAAGCTTTGTCATGTTCTACCAAACTACATAGGATTGGTAATGAATCCTGTGTCTAGGAAGCAGGCTGGAAACTTATCACCAGGCTGGTTAAGAGCAAAAACTGTTGTTTGTACTTTGTACTTGCAACACCTAGCACAGTGCCTTACACATGGTCAGCACTTAATAAACATCTGTTGAATTAAAGGCTTACAAATTACACAAAAATTATATACTAAGTTTTAGACGAGTTAAAATCTGTGTTGGTGGAAAGAGCACCCACAGCAACGAAATTATAGATCCTTTATGTACTGAAACAAAAAAAGGAATAAATGCAAGAAACATAGAAAGGGAGTACTGAAATAAAAAAGCACTCTTTATACACACACACAACAAAAAAACAAAAACAAAAACAAAAAAGGAGGGGAAAGGAAAACTTCATTCATCCAGATATACTGAAAACCCACTAGTCAAAAATTAGATATATAGAACATTTTTTTTTCCCAAAGAAAGGTCATTTTATAACTTTCAACTACATTTAGTAGGCTAACAAAGTATTGCCAAGTAAAAGATGTGAGAGACTTCAAATTGCAGTTAACACAGGAACTTGGTGTGCAAGTTAATACTTTTAAAATGTTTGTTCTCTGCAGAAAATTAAGTATTCACCTTTTGATGCTGTTTGTATTACTGATTTGACCTATTTATACACAAAAATAGTACAAGAAACTTTACCTTGACCCATAATGAAATTTCAAACTATAATTAATAAGTTTCATTACATTAGATATTGTCAAGTATTTATATCTGTCTTCATGAAAAAGATTCAAATAAAAGGTGCATCTTTTCTATTTTCATAGAAAGAATGCTTTTCACCTTTGTTCAGCAACAAAACTGTGATGCACAGTATTTCTGATGATACCTGAAATAATTACACTAGCACAGAAGTGTGAAAAAGATCTAAAAAATACTCTTAAAATTATGTTTAAAGCACAATATTCAGGACAATCACCTGTGACTGTTCAATTTCTGCCTTGTTTAATTTGATCCCCAGGATTTCAGCAGCAACTCGCTGAAAACACAGGAAGACCTGTAACAAGAAACAGAGTAAAAATGATTAAAAGAAGATATCCTCAAATTACCTTTAAATGCATCAAATTTTTCTTCAATTCTAAATAGTGAATGTCGCAAAAATTTGGCCTCATATGTTGACTAGCTGTGTAACCCTGGGCAAATCACTTAACCTCGAGTTTGCCTCAGCTTCCTCATCTGTAAAAGGTTGGATAATAATAGTACCTACCTACCAGAGCTGTTGCTGAGAATCGAGTAAAATATTTGTAATATTTGCTTAGCATGTTGCCTGGCACATAGTAAGTGCAATATAAATATTAGTTGTTATTATTATTATTATTACTTCCTTATCTTTACAAATTAGGGTAATATTTCCCTCCCTACCTCATAGGGCTATTGTGAGGATCAAATGGGATACATGAAATAGTCCTTGATGAATTATAAAGTGGCATGCAAGTTTAAATTATTATAGTTATCCAACCCTTTAATAGCTTCCAGGGTTCTCCTATCAACATGCAGATTTTTCATTGTGTTTCATATCGTTTCTCAAGTGAGAAGGATATTGAACCAGGTAATCTTATTTTCAGAGTACGTTAGAAACAATTATTCTTACAAATTATATATCTTTAAAAAGGCTCTTTAATTTCCTTTTTAGAAACAGCTTTACAATTATAACTCATGATCAGTTTCAGGACAAGACATCTATATCTTTGAACTCTATTAATGTATTATGTTGTACAGCTTTTCTACTTAAATATTCTACCTAATACCTATCCCTACTGAACAGCTTTTACCATTTCTCTAAATGAATTTTTATTTACTCTAACACTATCATCCCAGATGTTGATCATTCTTTCACAGCTTGCTGTCACCTGCAAACCAAGAAAAGTCATGACATTACACTATTTAGATCTTTGATTTTTTTAAAAAGCCAAATATCTATAAACCCAAAACTAATTCCATGGGTACACAACCTTTTTTCACCCTCTTTTTGTCTTTGCCTTTTGTCTTTGACCCAAAGACAATCACCTACTGAAAGTAACTTTTTAGTAATGAAGCAGAATCCTAGGGCTGGGAGAGGAGTTAATGGCTGCAGGGACTTAGAAGGGAGATTACAGCGAGACAACAGCCACTATCAGTATTATCTTTCCTGCCCATAGTTCAACCATAATCCGGATAGCAAAGCAGAGGAAATGTTTCAAAATGTTCTTTATCATAATATGGAAGTATATTATTGATTTAGTTAGGAAACTAAGCTGAGCTACTAATTAACCTAGGATACACACACAAATACATCATTCATACATACATACATACATGACATATGCATACATACATACCATCACATAATGGACTTTTAATTCTGACTCTACCATAAACTAGCAGTGTGATCTTGGAAAAGTTATTTAAAGTCTCTGAATATCATTTTCATTTGTAAACTAAAAAGTTTAATTAAATGTTCTCTAACATAACTTCCAACTCCAGATGTTTATGATTCCACATGCCACAGGCATACTGTAAAAGGAACTGAATTCCATTTAATTTTAAAAAACCACTTTTTGACTATTCCTATGTGCCAAGCTGGTGGCTGGTGATACGACTAAGAGTATAAACAAAAAAGCCCCTGTGCTCAAAAAGCATACATTTCCTAGAGGGAAACAACATGTACACAGATAAGCAAATGTAAAAAATAAACTAAGTCATTTCTAGAGGCAGTGGGTAAAACACTATTAATGGAAGTTACGAGAAAAGGAAGCTTGGAGGTTCCAAGAGGCTGTGATGAGAAGGAAGAGCATTATGGGCAGAAGCTTAGAGGTGAAAGATAACAGGTCATCTATGGGAAACAGAGAGTTTGGCTGGAATAGAGAGTGAATGAGTGGGAGTAATGTGAAATCAGTCTGGAAAAACAGGTTTGGAGCCAGAATGTTAAGGGCTTTAAATGCCAAACAGAGGTGTTTATATTTTATTCTACAGTCAAAAGAGAACCACTTAAGTTTCTTGAGCAAGGGAGTAATACAGTCAGGTCTGTACTTAAGGAATGTCAATTTAACAGTTATATGGAAAACGGATAAAAAAGGGGAAAGACTGGAGGTAGAAGACCAATTAGGAGCCAATAGCAGATATGAAGTAGGAACATGTCTTGGAGACTATTCCGTTAAAATCAGAGCCTAGTCATAATTCTGATTTTGCAAGAACTGTATAGTTGGGTCATTGCCCAACCAAGTGGTGGACAGTCGGTGAAGATAGTTACTTGAACTTCTCTAAGTATGCCTTAGCAAAATGTAGATATCACTGTCCCTACGAGCGTGCTCCGATTCCCTGCTAATATGCCCTTCAAGCTTAGTCTCAAATTCAAAAAATTGCTAGGATTACAAGATGTTTATTATTGTGACTTTGTTCCCAGGTTTGACCCTTCACAAGTTTTGCATTTTTCTTAGTCATTCTGAGAAACCACTCAAGTTCTACTCCACTGCTTCATTATGGTACCAACTTGAGCCTAGGTTCTTAAAGACTATCCTGGTATATCACAAATTTTAGCAAGTCCAACCAAGCTAGAAAGGGTTCAATATGGCCCAGTGACAGACTGTGTCCACCATGTAAAAAACAACCTAGCTTAGGTCAGAAACAGTCCTCACCAAGGTGGTTACATGACGATTAACTTTTTGACCATAGTAACTATAAAACTAAGGCATAGACGGTGATGCTGGTGGACCTAGAGAAATCACAGGTACTTGAAGTATACTTTGTTTTCAATCTAGTGTAAATTGCCAACAGGTGAAAAATACTACTGTGACTTAATTAAAAATGAAGCTGTAGTTTTCATTGAGGGAAGTGGCCATGTGTTTCTACTCAGTCATATTTTTCACATATCAAAAACAGCAATGAACTGGAAAACACCATCTTCTTTAAAAAGTGGAACGCATCTACATACAGTTAGATTATTCACCCATCTTTAACTATTATTTAAAACAACGTTTAATTTCTTGTTATTCGGTTATTTTAATCGCATCTGACTCTTCATGACCCCATTTGGGATTTTCGTGGCAAAGATACTGAAGTAGTTTTCCATTTCCTTCTCCAGATCATTTTATAGATGAGGAAACTGAGGCAAACAGGATTAAGTGACTTGCCCAGGATCATATAGCTAGTAAGGGTCTGAGGCTAGATTTGACCTCCGACCTTCTGGACTCCGGGCCCAGTACTCTCTCCACTGCGCCACCCCGCTATTTAATCTTTTATTTTCAGGGTTGAAAAGACTCATTACAAGTTATCTTCAGAATATTCTGGCTTCAAACAACAATTCTGTAGTTCAGTTGTCTTTAATTTTGGCTTTTCTGCAACTTCAACCTCAAGCAGTCTATTTACCTCACTTGTCTTTTAAACCTAATTAAAGGGAAAGCTTTGCCGATCCCTCTGGCCTTCCTGCTTACCCTTATTTTCCTACAACCAACAGACATCAAGAGCTTACTGAATTGTAGAATCGTTATGAACTGAAGGTTCTTATCCCCATGGCCTCTTAAAACAGGATCAAATACAAAACTGTTTTTGACATAGCAATGGAATTAAAAAAATCTCCACTTAGGCTACAAAATGTTTTGGGGAAGAGTCATCTCTTCCAGAACAAACCATTTAAAAATAATTTTTATAGAGAACTTAACTTGGTCTTCAAATTGAGGGAGAAAGTCATTACAGCCTAAACTAAACGCAGCCCAGGAAATTGTTTAATGTCAAAAACTCCCATGAATATTGGTGAATATAGGAAATATAAAAGTGGTTTGGTAAGCCACCACTATTCTAAACAATGCAAGGGAATTTACAACTGCTAGAACGAAACATTTATAAAATCATAACATTATAGAATTTTGGAACTAAAAAAGGCATTTCCTCCCAAATGTGTGTACACACACACACACACACACACACACACACACACACACACACACACTTCAAGTGGGTTTTGGTTACACTCTTTACTTACAGAGTCTCCCGTCTTTGCTGACACAAAATGGCTACTGAGGCCATTTTCCTGGCAAAACCGTAGGTGTTTATCAGGTTTTACTGTTCTCATATGCTCCAAATCAACTAGAAAGGCATTCAAAGAAAAACAAAATCCAGCATGTTACTGTTTATAAACCAATTTAATTTTTTTCAAACTAACATAAAAGAAAACATACTCTATTTTATTCCTATCATAATATAACTGTCTGCTTATCATGTGTACTGTGCCTTATACATAGCAGATACCTAATAAATGTTAAATGAGTAAATGTATAAATGCATCTGAAGAACAAAGATTTATTTAAAATAAATTAATGAAATATGCCTCTTACAAATTTGCTTTGAAATAGTTTACAATCTGACATAATTAGAATGTTTTGGAGTTTTATAATTTTAATGCTGTACAGCAAATATCTGGTTAGTGTCTAGAAACATTAAAATATTACTTAATTTGTTATTAAAATATTTCTAATTTCACAAAAGGAAACTTCAGAAAGCTCCTTTAGAAAGTTTCCTTCCTTTATATATTTTAAGAGTAGCGTTCATGGATTTTTCCTGTGATGGGCCCATTGGAAATAGAGCACTTAAACAAGACAGCATTTCACAGAGAAGTGTTAGGTGCTAAAAGCAGAACATGGAACTCAAATCTTGACAGGTTTTATTGTGTACATTCCAATTTTTCCAGATTTGATCCTGAAGTAACTAACAAGAATCTATATTGAAAAGTTTCTCTTTTTTATTGCATTGCAGTACCAATATGGGTGTTGACTCAATGCCATCAAATTATAAGGCAAATATATTCACAATGATTTAAGGACAACTAGGTTCTTTGAGTCAATACAGGAAAAAAAAACTTAAACTGATTTCCTGAGGAAGGGACCCAACTGACTTGTAAAAACTTGTAAATTTGCAAATCTAGTAAGCCTGCATAATAGTGGCAATTGATTATCAACTGAAAAAATGCTCTCATACTACATAAAAGGCTTTATTTAAAATGATATTGGAGGTCTTTAATTTGTAGGCTCTGGAGATTTTCTCTAGGAGATTTTTGGTCTAACAGGGGATTCCTAAGCCCCATTTATACTGCTTACCTTGGTTAATGTGGAGCTTTTTTTTTTTTTTTTTTTTTTTTTTTTTTTTTTGCCACATGTTGCTGTTCCTTAAACATCACTGAGGCCTTGTTTATAAGAACAGGCCTAAAAATGCCCAGATACCACAGGCATTAATTTGTGGACAACTAAAATACTAAGCTATTAGCACTAATGTTTATACTACAGTTTATGATAATATTGAAGCTAAAATACTTCTTCTAATTCAACAACAACAAAAGTAAGAACAAATAACGTCACTAGGAAAAATCCCCAATGAAATCACTAACCAGTTAAACATAAGGCAATGTCACCTTTTTTAGCTAGAATATTTTCCATCAAAAAAACACATACATACAACATATCCCATACCAAAAATCAATCTAGCATATTAAGCAACATAATAACTGTATAATAATTGTCTTAATAAAGAAAACTATTTATTGAGTATATTTTACTTCATTCTACCCTAAACCAGCATTAAAGAGATGCTGGTAGGAAGGGAAGCAGTAATTTTAAAAGCCAGTAAGGTTTCATCAAGAATAGCTCATGCCAGACTAACCTTACCGAATTTTTTCAACAGGTTAGTAAACTAGTAGATCTGGGAATTCTGCAGATATAACTTACCAAGATTTCAGCAATATTTTAGTGACATTTGACAAAGTGTCACTACTCTCACTGAAAAGATGAAGTACACTAGAAGACGATACAATTATATGGATTTTGAACTGGTTGAACAGATTCCAAGAGTGCTTGTTAATGGTTCAATGTCAATGACGCAGGAGGGCTCCAGTGGAGTACCCCAAGGATCTGTGGTGGATCCTGTGCTATTTAATGTTTTTATCAGAAACTTGGATAAAGGCATGAATGACATGCTCATCAAATTTTCTGGTGACATAAAGCTATTCTACCTCGTTATGCTATGAAGTGAAACTGCATTTAGATAATTCAAACAAAATGATTATACCCAAGTTACGTCAAAATCTATGCTGAAACCTAACAAACAGGGTGTTCCCTGTCTGTGCCTTGCAGGTTAGTTCACAGCCTTTCCCAATGCAAACATTTTATTCAACATAAGAAATTTATATGCCTGCTCTCATTTACCAATGCTTCCTTCTCTTCTTCTTAGCTATGCATTCTGGTCTGCTAGTAATGATAAATATGAAAGAATAGATTAAGTTTATTAAATAAATTTTAGACCCAATGACTAATTAACATTCACTCATGGATATCTGGGAATTGATTAAACTATTATATCTTTTGAGGGAGTCTGAAGAAGAGGAAGAAAAAGTTTCAAAGAAATTATTTTGCTTCTACTATGTATTCATTCATTTATTCATTGAGGGCTACAATATTTGTGTAGGCTCTACCTACAAACTCACCAAAATTGTAAAAATGACCAAAATTTTACCTTCCTCCAAAGATTATTGATTCTATAAACAAGTCCTTCAAGGATTTATGAGTGTTAGTGATTCTATAAGCAGAAAAATATGTTGCTATTTTATAGACGGTTCATCTGGCTATTTTCAAGGAATTATACACAATAAGTAGTGAGAACTGAGAACAACTGTTACTTGGTATATTTGGAGTATTCAAAAAATGACTCATAATTGATCTTGAGATAGCCATAAATTTCCAATTCTTTACTTCTGGCTCCTTTCTTAAGCCTTATCTTAAAGTAGTTTTGAAGTTTTCCTTCCCTTCCTAATAACATGGCATAGTGAATGAAAAAAAACATTTTGCCTAGGAAGTGAGACTTGGGTTTTAGTCCTGAGACTCTATACTAACTACTTGTATGACACTGGGCAAATTAAAATCAACATATGCCTATTAAGTGCTAACCAAATGCAAGACATGATGTTAAGTGCTGTGTCCCTGCCCTGAAAGATCTCAACAGGCTACCTAGGGAGGCTAGAGACAAACATGTGAAAAGTTAAATAACAACAAAAAAGAAAGAAAATTAAATAAAAGTTTCAAATGAGAACAAAAGTATGTCACATGATTAACTACCAAATGAGCACAGACAAAAATTACTAGAGTGGTTATAACTTCTCACAAGGATAGTTACAGAAGGCTTTAAGGATATGGAGCTGACTCTTGAAAAACTGGTAGATGTAGGTAATAATTGTCAAAGAATGGAAGGAGTAATTCAGGTGGATGGAACAACATAATGAGCAAAAAAAATGTGGTTGGGGAAACTGAGTTAAGTTCATGAGATAATGCATAAATACGTTTGTCTAGAGCAAAGAATTTAGAAAAGTCAGTGTAAATAAGACTGGAACCACTGAAGGTTAAGGACATGTGTAGGATACAGAATGCCTACGGAGGTTGAATTTGATTCTGTACAGTAATGGCACTGAGCACAGTGCCTGGCACACAGATGCTTACTAAATGTTTATCCATTTCAACTAATTGACTGGGAAAAGAATAAAGGTTTTTGAGCAGGATAGTGTTTCTGGAAGATTAGTCTGGTAGCATAATGTGGGATGAACTCAATGAGATTCACCTAAGAATTTATCTATAAAAGTAGGAGATTGGACTAGATAATCTCTACCTTGCACTCTAAAATTTATATTATTGATCTAGTACAATAATCATAAACTATAATCTATAATTCTCAAACATATCTCCTGAAAATAAAGAAGTTCCCTTCTGTGTACCTTTTAAAATATGATTATCTTTCACTACAACCTGAAGATATGAAATAGGAGATATCAAGCTGAAAAACAGTCACATTGTTTTTACAGTGTAAAATATTGCTGCCAGGCTTACTGTTGTTTTGTTGAATTTGAAATGTCACATATAAGCAAAAGAAATTCAAACACAAATTTTTCATTCACCATCTGTAGCAGTAGTTTCAATGTCTCAGCGCCATCCTTAGGTAATTATGAGAGGTACATCCTTATAGTTAGTTCTTGACCATCTAATTCATGGCAGGGTGGCTTTGAGCCACACCAATAAAATGACATCGTGTTTCCATGGCTAGTCACTTAGTTAACAAATAGTACTTTTAGCAATAAATTTGGTTTTTAAAGAAAAAAACATTAAGAATATGACATAGATTACAAGACCATATCTGTAATCATTGAGTTCCAACTCCACTTTGACAAAACATCAGGGTGAATCCAGTTGTCCCAAAGATTATAAAGTAGTATCAAAGCAAAAGTAATTTTAATTCACTATAACATCAGAAAACTATCTTCATCTCCATGCCTTTGTTCATTATTTTCTCTAAGTCCATGTTCCCTTTCAATTCAATTTGAATAACATTTATTAAGAGCCCACCATGCAAAAAATACTATGCTAAATGCTCAAGGACACAAAAACAAAAATTTTAAAAGATTTACATTCTCTTGGGAGATACAGAATGTACAAACATAAGTATAGCAAAATGTAATTTGAGTTAGGAGAAAGGAATAGCAAGTGGGAAAAGTGGAAGAATTCGAGGAAGAAGTGGTATCTGAACTAAGGCTTATTGGAAGATAAGGACTCTTCAGTTGACCACCTGGATATACATGCTGATTAAATGGAACTGTGGGCAATAAGAAAGTGTTGACCTGAATTATCATAAACACATAAGCAATGACACAACATGGTCCATACAGTCTAGAATCCATTTACTGAAAATAAGGACAATGGATGTTGCCAAATAGATTAACATCACTTCAGTGTCCTGTTATATATCCAAGATTATCAAGTGACCAAGAATTTACTAAATTATTTTTTGATCAACTTATACTTTCTAGAGTGATTAGGCAAACAGCCGAGAGAAAGAAGATAGGTACGTCAGACAGGCATAGAAAATGAGGTATGGGGCAGCTAGGTGGTGCAGTAGATAGAGCACCAGCCCTCAGACCAAACACTTGACACTTACTACCTGTGTGACCCTGGGCAAGTCACTTAACCCCAACTGCCTAAGAAAGAAAGAAAAAAAAAGAAAATGAGGTATAGCAGAAAGAACACTGGACTTTAAGATGGAATAGTCCAGGGTTCAAA